GGGCAACCAGGTGCACGGGCAGCCATGGGAATGCCCCGCTCCTGGGGACGCCTGGGGGCACGGCTAGCGCGGGGAGCTGCGCCAGGCCTGACACGCCAGCCCCACGGAGAGGGGAATGCCTCGCCCTTCGGAGCAGCGCGGAATCACCCAGAGGGGAAAAAGAAAAAAAAAAAAAAGAAAAACGAAGCCTTTCTGTGGATGGATCAAGGTTGGGCACCCGGAGAAATAAAAGAGGAGAGGGGTGGAGAAGCAGCCCCCCAGGAGGGTGGACTGAGCGCTCGCTTAGCGGCACAGTGTTAAGCAAAAGAAGAGCTCCACCTAAGAAAGTGCCAAAGTTTTATTGTGGTCATTGTTTCGTCCCTTTACTCAAGTGCTTGCAAAAGATTGTTTTGCTCCTGCTTCATTCACTTTACCGCTCGCCCACTTTTATTTGGGAGGTTATGCTGGATTTGTTCGGGGTGGTGTTTTTTTGAAGACATATAGACAACAGAGCCGAGAAGAAAAAAAAAATAGTTTGCGAAGGAAAGAAGCTTTTCAAATGTCCACCAAAAAAGATCAAATCAAATCCAGAGGGCAACAAAAGCCTCCGCAGACAATAACTTCGTTCGAGCAAGACTCGAGTCTCGTTTCTGCTTGCTTTGGTTTCTTTAACCTCCATGAAAAAAAAAAAAAAAAGGGGGGGAGGAAGGAGAGGTAAATCCCATGGGGTGGCTTCATGGCTAGTTCCAAACTCTGCAGATGAAGGGACGGTCGCCTCTTTGATTTCGCTGGCCACTTCCCTGCTGGCAGGTAGAGGCACGAGGGGAGCGGCGGCCCGCAGGCAGGCAGGCAGGGCCCTCTGGTCCCCGCACCAGGGCTCGGCAGGTCGGAGAAAGCTTTTTTTTTTCACTGTTAATTTATTATTTTTTTTTCTTGCTCGTGGGTCCTTTCTACCTGTGTCCGTCGCTGCAGGTTGTTGTGCTGGCGAGCAATTGGGCTGTTGTTGATATGCTAATGAGGCGATTAGACTGTGGGTAAAGAGCTGGAAAAGGAAAAACTTTCCACCATTAGAGGGAGATCTCCGAGCGCGGACGGGAGCCAGCCTCCGCCAGCCGCGCTCCCCACGCCGCCCGGCACCGCCACCGTAGGGAGAGGCAAGGCAGGGAGAACCAAATCCTCTTTCTCACGCCAATCCATGAAAATGCTTTGGAAACTGACGGATAATATCAAGTATGAGGAATGCGAGGTAAGCTCTTCCCTCGGGCCCGGGCAGAGCCCAGGCCCCGCAGCTGCGAGCGGGAGCCTTCAGCATCCCTCCGTCTCTCAATTTCGTTTAGGAAAACTTCTGCTCCGTCGTCAGGCTTCCTTGCGGTCCTGCTGCCGGAGAGGGGCTGGGGTCCTTCCCCAGGAACTTCGGGGCTTGTGGAAACCCGGCTTTGTCGGAAGTGTATGAGGAAGGGCAAACAGGATCCAAGCAGCAGCCTGGTCTATAGGTAGATAAGGCTCTTGTAGGATGCTACACTCATCCATATGGATGGATGGATAGATGGATGGATAGGTGGCTGGTTGAATGAACGGATGGATGAATGAATGAAAGGGCAAAGAGACAAAGGGAAGAGAATTATTCTTACACTCTAGGTACCCGAGGCATCCCAGTAAATTGACTCAGGACCGAAGCTTAAATTCAGCCTTTTCGATGTAGCTGCTGGTTGATTATACCGAGCTGCACAAATTTGCACGGGTCAGATGCCGAACTGAAATCATGGGTTTGGGAGCGGTGTTCCCCCAATCTCCTAATTTTCAGGGTCACATTCCCGGGGGCTTGACAAATAATATTTTAACCGCTTGGGAAAAAAAAATAATTCACATCATTTGTTTTTGGAGCCTTTCAGCACAGACTGTATGCGCACATCTCTCTATGTGTCTGTGTGTGCACATCTCTCTATGTGTCTATGTGTGCATCCATATTTTTAGAAAGAGGAGAATGTCTTTTAATCTGACATAAAGGAGAAGAAGAGGAAAAAGAAGAACGATGCCCAGGACCCATGCCTAGTCTTAAACCAACGAATACTATTGTCACCCTTTTCGAAAAAGTTGACTGTGCTGTGTGTTCAAACCGCGCAATAAAGGACCCTACTTTGCAAAAGAACGCTGTTATTTGGTCATGACCCACGCGGGAAGATCTCCCAAGCCTCGGCGGAGCCTTGCCGACACGCACCTCTGGGTCGAAGGGGGCACTCTCCCGTCCGACCCTGCTGCTGTTTTGGGCGATGCTGTAGCTTGGGAAAGAAACTGAGGATTCGCCAGGCTCAGCGCCGACTAAGTGTTTTGGTGATCAAGTCTCGGATCGAGGACTTTGGGATGAAACTGTCTCCCGATGCGGGAACTGAGCTTTTAGATCCACTCGCTGGCGGGTGCTTGATTTCTAGGAATGAGATGTCAGGGGTATTGGGGTTTGTGGTTTTTTGTTTGTTTGTTGGGGGTTTTTCTTTTAACCCGGAAAACAAACATATATGTTCCTCAGTTGCATTTCGGATGGAAAGCGTGTCTCTTCCCCCTCCCTTCCCTCAGGATCGGTGTTCCAGTGTGCACACGTGTGAGCGTGTGGATTTCGTCGCAAATGGCTTTTGTTGCCTTGCGTTAATGGGACTTCACACCAAGGTGTTGCCAAACACGGAGCAGCGGCCGCTCCGCCGAGCCCCCTGGCTTTTGTGCGTACGTGTGGGGTTGGTACTCCGTGTTTTCCTCTGGAGAGGGTGTGATGTGACTTCTAGAGAGGATGAAAAAGGGTGACTGTGTCGTGCCGGGAGTAGGACCTGCCTTAAAATATATTTAAAAA